AAAACTTAGCTATTAACATCCTAATACCATTCGATAGGTAATTAAAAATTGCATTTCCTGGTAGATTAAAAAATACGGGTTGTATTTAAATTAATCAACTTACAGCCACTTAAAGTTATTGTTTGATTAGTTTAAATTTGTGGACACTCTGTATAACATGGTAAGTTTATTATCATTGGGATATAAAATATTATATCTTGTTACACTTCACTATAAATTACGCTTACATAACTTAAATACTTAAGTATTTGACACGTGGAAATTAGATTAGATTTTGACTAAATTCGTATTATTTAAAAACCTTAAGATTTAGGTATTATAAACCTTATTCAACGAGACACTTATTTTGTCCAGCGAATCCAAAAATGCAATAATATACAGGACATTCCATTTAAAAAACGCAACTTTGATACCTTTAGAGCTCTTGGGACACCCTGTACATTACAATCGGACAATTCATAAAATAATACTTTTTAAAAATCAAACGGTTTAGCCGCAAACTTCCGAGCCGTATAGCGTGAATAACCCTGTATAAAGGATGAGATTCTGAAAAAAAACCTTATAAAATGTTCTAAAAAACTTCTTTAGGTGATTCTAAATTTCACGTTTTGGATCTTTCACCTAAAAGAGGAAGACAAAAAATATACGGAAATGTTAAGGGAAATCGATTTTCAGCTGCGTTTTTTTTTGTAATTATAATAATCTCAACAGCAATGACCAGCACGCCCAATAAAACAGCTCCGGCCGCTCGAGAGCCTTCGCCTGTGATGTCTAATTTGACGACTGTTAGCAATTTCGCTGCCGTTGCCGCAAACAACATTAACAAGTCGTTGAACAATGTGGATGTTCCGCCCATCAATGTTCCACAACAGGTTGTTACTAATCTGAACGTGGTCCCACCAAAGGCGCCGGTGGAAGTTCAAAATGTTGTACCTACTATTGAACCGCCAGCGCCGCCAGCACCCATCGCCATCACCAATCCTGAACCTCCGCCAGTTATTGCGAACGGAACTGATAATAATGAAAAGGTTAGTGGATATTTCAATTGTACTTTATAAGTTTTTATCATGTTTTTTCAAATAATTATATTGTCACCGCCCTGTAGTTTCAACGGCAAAGAAGTTTGCAAATTGAATATTAATCCAGTTTATATGGTATGATATGCAGGGACGCTTCTAGTTCCTAAACTAAGAGAGCGAGATCCAAATGATTAAAACAAAAATTGAAAGGTTCTTCCCTTTTCTGCATTCTAAACAAAACTCGTATGACACATTTCGAATTGCAGCACAATTTTAACAACTCGATATCTTCAAAACGGTTAGGCATTTGTAATTGACCGTTTCCATACATAACAGCAATCCTGTATAGAGGATGTTTATGATATTTTAGATCTCAGATGGTATGTCAACGTTGAAAACGATGGCACAACAGGTGATAGACAGAGCGGGCTTAGAAGCACAACCGCCACAACCTCAAGTAATTTTAGACCCCCCAAGGAACCATAGTCATGTTAAAACGGAGGCTCACATACCTCCCCTGCTTGGTGTGGCTCCTCTTGGCGCTGTTCCTCTACAAAAAGAACATCAGACTCAGTTCCAGCTGATGGAGTCTGCCTTTTATCACATGCCACATCCGTCCGATACGGAGAGGGTTCGACATTATCTGCCGAGGAATCCTTATAATACACCCCCATACTATATACAGGTAAGCAGGCAGGTAATTTACGTAATACGCTGTTGGATTCATATCAAAATTAACTCTATGTGATCTCAACTAACACTTGTGAGGTCAGTCGAAGTCAAGCTAGGTAGTGGCTACAGTGATATCAATCACATAGTGAAGACAAAAATGAAGAATATGAAATGACAATGAAAAAAAAAATAACTTACTACGAAATGTAACTAATTACTAAACCGGTTGAGTACATTTTAAATTACAGGCGCCATTATTTAATTCGGACACTTTGGAGTTCTACCAACGACTGGGAACGGAAACGCTATTTTTCGTCTTTTACTATATGGAGGGAACTAAAGCTCAATACTTGGCAGCTAAGGCGTTGAAGAAACAAAGTTGGAGGTTCCACACGAAGTACATGATGTGGTTTCAACGACATGAGGAGCCAAAAATTATTAACGAGGAGTATGAACAGGTAGGATCAGATGACATCTTTTCATGGAAAGGAGTCCTGCGAAATTCATTTAGTTCATTTATGGAAGAAAGACAGTAAACCAAAATACATTACTAAACATGCACCATTTACGACCAAGCAATGCAATATCTTCGATAAATAAACTATCCTTTCTTTTTACTCACTTTCTAAAAAGTTGTCGTTAGCACTGCCGCTAAACGTTGGCTGACTAGTCTAGACTATTGTTGCATTTTCAGGGCACCTACATTTACTTTGATTACGAAAAATGGGGACAGAGAAAAAAAGAAGGATTTACATTTGAATATAAGTATCTAGAAGATAGAGACCTTAATTAAAATTTATTGCTAACCATGTTGTATTATTTCATATAAACCAGCAAATGGAAAAAATCTCCACTTTGAAACAGACCAAACTATTGCCTTCTCACACATTACAAGCTGCAATAGACATGCACTCCCACTAGTTTCAGTGGCGATATGTTAAGGACTTATATTGGTTTTTTTCAAAATGAAACCACTAAAAAATCGGACAAAACATTTAATTAAGGTTGCAAAAATGTTAACAATTGCAGTTAATTGAAGGACACCATTGGAGGCACTCTTTGCGAACACTCGCAATTTATTCGATCAAATATTCTTTTAACATATTATTGTTCTTTAAACAATTCCGTTCTCGAATTATGTTATTGTAATGCCTATTCTTTGGGGAGCGGTTATTAGCGATTTTCTCCTTTACTCACCCATCAATTATTTCCCTAACTGTATAACTACCAATGAGTACCTCTTAACGAATATAACGGACGTAATATGGAATGTACGAAGTAATCGATTTGTATGCTACTTTTCAAAAAGCTCTGGACATATCAGAGTACTTATTAACAACGAGACCCAAACATTTTAGTGAAGAATTTTCTCGAGCATTGTGCCTCATTTTTTTAAAACAATTATAGACAATCGTAGTGCGCAACCAAATCACAAGATTGACTTATGAGGTTTTGCCAATGAATGTAATAAATATTAAAAATGCACTTAGGTGATAGAAATAAGTAGAATATCATACGAGTTATGTTGGGTGCTTAACAATAGCGATCGCGATTAAGTACGAAAAAACCTCTAAATACTATAACAATACATGAAAGCAATTGCTTGTAGACGGAGCAATTCGAACGAATAAATACTGCAAAATAAATTAAATAAGTACCTAACGAGATATTTCAATCTATACTATACTTGTTTATGCATCGTGTTTTTTCGCTTCTGTTAACAGAAAAACTTCAGAATAATACGGGTTCTGAATACGTAAACATCTAACAACACTTACACGATATGGTATCAATCCTACGGGCAAGAACTTTCTAGAATAAAATGTCTAAACAGTCAACAAAGTTCTAAATTTTGGTATGAATTGACTATTAGAACCTAAAGGACACTTCCGTCATAAAATGTTCCCTAAAATTTCTACTACATCTACATGAGAAGCAAATGGTTCTAATTCCTACTAGACTAATTGAGAATTATTAGTTGATCTGAAAACGTTCATATTAGCTTCTTATCATAGTCGTAAAAACATCATTACCGAATGATGTGTGTTAATATTTATGGCTACGTTCATTTGGTCACCTATATAGTTTCCTAAGAGCGTTTATTACAGAACTAGTCCTTTAATAAAAATAGACAATCATTTTTGGGCTTGTGGCTTGATAATGCAAGTATTAAACTATTAAATGAAAGTAAATAATATTTCCAAATGTGCCTGTGAAAAATAGTGCATTAGAGTTTCATGATGATGATTTAAGCTTTCGAATCCACTTACAAAGTGTATAACACTACAAAAAACATACGAAAGTATTTATTATTTTCGTGCCGTTCAGATAAGTATTATATTGAAGGTTGAAAATGTAATTTACTTTTTGATTTTACGAATGATCTTACGGAACGATGCAGTCCACTTGGTACGCGTCAGTTTGGCACAATCGTTTTCGTCCAAAGTGGAATTGGGGCTGAATTTCTCTTTTGGCGTCGTTGCGTTGCTCTTATAGTCTCCGCAAATATCCGATGAAAAGCCAGAATCACTTCCAAAACCTACAAGTAATCAAATTAAATTCCAGCCGTATGCTCATAAGTAAAAAAATTGTGTTACAACTTAAAATGGTGCTACAAATGTTGCTAGTTTCGGAAATAACTGCTGCAAAAAAGTTCATTACTTTAATTAATGTGAGTTTAAGGGTAACTTGAAAACTGACTTTCACAATGTTATCCTGATAATGCATTCTGCAAACTTAAACATTATATTAGTTAAATGAATTTAATATTCCAAAATGCCTGGAATTGTCTAAAATGCTTTTTTCAATCTTTATATGGGTAAAATTAAATTCGTACCTCGAAAACTGTTTCTATTTTCTTGACTGTAGCCGTCCAATTGATCATCTTCTTTATCTCGCAAGTAACTTGAAGAAGTGTCAGAAACATCGTCCATGTAGGAAATGGACAATTCAGCAAAGGGAACGCTAAGTGAGGAACATTCACTTTGCACATACCCTAAAAACAATTRCAGATTTACAGTGGTTTACAGATTTACAGACAATATGGTGCTCCTATTAGGACAATATTAAATWTACGCTTAACCGAATATAACACGATTTAGGCAAAATTKCSTGTATCTTATTGTCTTTTGAAACTTTTKGGCCKYTTGKAAAATKTTTGTCAGACCTACAGATTCCGYACAATTAAAAAAACAAAAAAGGACACGRAAAAGTATTAATTCTGAATAACTGAACTAATTTCATTATTTYAAMAMAYGTRCAMARTKTATTCACAKKATTCAAAAKTAWACACASTSTATTACAGGTAAATAAACTTGTTTTTTTCTGCTTGCCGTAACAAATTTGCCGCACTAAGAGGGTGATTTCCTGGMAAACYCAAACAGCAAAATGAGTTTATTATTAATAGGTATTTAAAAATAAGGAATGCGCTACAAACTTGTGTTAGTTTCATACAATTTGCATACKCACAAAAATAATTACTTAAAATAAAGTTAAAAAGTTGCGCAAGAAAACTGTCCTTTCTACTGTATGAACRATGGATGAATGATGGACGTTTAGTATTATGGGATTTTTCCCTTGACCATCAAGCGCACCATTTTGCAACATGAAAAACTGSAAAAATGTACTTACCAGAAGCCGATGGAGAATCTTCTATAGGACAAAACCATTCGGAAAGACTCGCGCCTTCGCCGCAATGTATTGGAGACCTCGGCGGTTTGATCATATTACGCATTTCCAAGAAAGGCGTTTGTAGACAGCCAAACAACTTACGACTGAAAAACATTTTTTTTTTATTAAAAATTTTGTTGAAACTGCCTTTGAATAAACATGGGATTTTGAAACAAATTTATGTTTTTGGAACGCAAACCAATTATTAAAAAGGTTTTGTCGGCTCTGACTGTTGTCGATATATTAATTATTTAACATTTTAGAAAGTCAATTTTGCCAGTTTTTGTATGTATAGGCAGTTCAATAATGAGTATAGGAATATAAAATACAAAACCTTCAAAGTATGTCCGGCTCATTATGGAGTCAAGTAGTAAACAAATTAAGTGATCAATCTTTACAGTACAGTTTACAATATAAAACAGTAGTAAACACGCTAAACCGCAAAAAAGCATTGCTATGAAAACACATTGTGTTAAAATGTACTGAAGWRAKTTAAAKTGAKTAMATATAYGAATTTGTRCTAAWTTGTAATAACTGTATTMAAATGAACTGTGTAGRCGATTTCTRCCATAWCTTTTCTCACTGAAAAACATTTTGCTATTGATTGAATTTACGTAGGTATTTATTATATGAAAAATTGTTTTTATTCCATGGCCTGACGCCTATTGAAACATCAAAAGGGGCATTTGTGTGTTTTATCATTTTTTGCGTTCCGTAGGTAAAGCACCTACTTAAATACAGRGTGATTCAGAACTTTACTATACGCAAATGGCTTTGAATAGTTGCACTGAATTTACTAAATATGGCATACAATTATTTGATTTAYAATCTRCAAAWTATAAATTTTCTGTAACTTCAGCATGACCACACGTGAYTCCAGCAACTTTAGTTATCGTTTAATAAATATYAGTCAGATTAATGTGGGATTAAGCCTGGAAACAACGGAAAACTATAAAAACAAACATTAATTGACGCACTTATTATTATTGGGCGATATCCTCTTGTATGACGACTTAGCATATGCACACACGGAGCATTTCTTTTGCTTGCAATTGGCCAGATGTTCCACGGCTTTCTGGAACTGAGACGCTAACGTAGACGCCTGGTATTCCGGGGATTTCAGCTCCGTAACCTAAAAACAAAAAAAACCAATCGCAAACAATAATTGTTACAATTTTCTCCTTCAATTTGGTCATTAAAAGGCGCCGCTTTCTTCAAACATTCGGAACAAGTTCATGTTAAAATTCAACAGACAAACTAAAAGACAATAAAGGTGTTTATGTATTAGGCGCATGAGTCTCATTCGCATGTAGAACAGCAAAAACCTTGCTGTTGCACACAAATGTGGTTTGCATTTGAACTGATTGTTTTTCTTAATGAGTCTTGAAAGTGTGCGTTTTGCCTAGAAGAAACTGATGCGGCAGATTTAGGATGGCTGGTTTATCAAGAGCAAATAATGCAAATAAAACGAGTTGTGGTCGATCGTTGTCCGAACAAATTCGGCAAACTACTAAAAATAAAAACACAGAAGTTACTGGCGATTTTCGCAAAAATTCTTATACTTGTATGTTTTTTTAAATAAAAGTCAGTTGGGCTGTTGATACTTGATAACTGATTCACCGGATAAATTGATTAAGTATATTGATTTACGGTTCCTAAAACCATAGACGAAGATTATTGATTTCGACATCCATTCTTCCAACAAAACACCCTTGATTTTGCTCAAATCGAACCGAAAAATTAGAGCGCTCCTTAAAATGAACTTGTTAAAACAAGTGCTTATAATTACGAAACACTCGGTTTCAAAATGGCAAAAAGGCTTTCAATCATGAAAGGTCTTCAAGAAGCCATAAAAATACAATTTCAGTGGCGTCTTTAGGGAATTGTGCAAATGCTCTATCTAGCACAGTGAGTGTCCAAACGTTCGGAGCCACCCTGTATATAAAAGACTTCTCTTCGTTGTATTGTAGTGAGACATTAGTATGCACGCTTCTATTGTTAACAGTATTATTCGCATGAAATTGCGCTAATTAGAGCCATTTGCATTGTTTTTAGTATGCAGACTCTGGTAGAGCGGGCAATTGACCGGAGTTCACCTCAAGCTCTGGTTCATCGCCAATCTTTATAACCCAGTGATTTGAAAGTGTAGAAAATGCTACATTAATATTAATGCCCGTACAGTTTGATTAAACGAAATTTATCGGATGGTCTATTCAATTAACTGTTCTCGGCAATATACATCCATCAAACTGTTTAAGTGCTGCATGTGGAGAAGTCGACAATAAATGTCAATATTTCTCAAGTTATTAGTGGTTTATGATCCGTATGTGTTCCTATCTGATTTTCTATAATTATGTAACAGCAGGCATTATCTTCCGGGGTACTTTTTTAGTGCGCAGCAGGAAGAGAACAAAGAATTGTATAACATTTAATAAAACTATTTACATTAACAATTACGAGTGTTTCCGAAGTGGGTTTATACATTTGTAGATGATTCGGTAACTCACTGACCTGGAGAACCCAAACAAATGTGAATATTTGTGGAAATAAACAGGGTTGATAATCAAATTTGTCACCCCCAAAAATATCTGAATACCCAATCGCTTGCATCCTCTAAACCGCAAAATACTTGCTTTTATATTTTTTTCCTGAATTTTTTAATGGATGGAATAATCGGAGGAGTTCGATTAGACAAACCGATTTATGCATGCTAAGTGTGGGCGATGAATGTGAGAATTCTGAAACCCTGATAGAGAAACGCCGCACACCACAGACCGAGAAAATAGAAAAAATGACA